ATTAAAGTTGTGCATACTAAGGATTGATCCACTCTTTACATTTGGCGGTTTCTTTTGTTTTTTTCACTTATTACTGAATCATTTGGTTGGTTTGTTACATCATTTTCTATTGGTTTTATTCATATCTTCTCAAACTTTGTTGGTGTTTGAATTTATTAGATTTTATGGTTATCAAATCAAGTGTCCTGAACAAGGATAAGTTTTTCAGGTTGTGTAATTCCGAAGTAAACTTCTTAGGTGTTGGGCCTGGACCTGCGGCCCAAACGGTCTGCGACCCAACGGTCTGCGGCCCGTGAACAGTGGAAGCCCAACTCAAACAATAACCGCGCTCTGGTTAAATCTGAGTAAGATTCAGTAACTACAGTTAATAAAACCTAGTATGTATCCTCAACCTTGTACTATAAATAGAGGTACAATGTGATGTGACCATTCATCTTCCATTCCTTTGAGAGAGTACAAGGGACCCAGAGCATCACCGTTCATGTCTCTAACTCCGACAGAGAGCTCACCGGGAGGTCACCACCGACCGAAAAACACCGAAAACACTATCTGTTTATACTAGCTCGCAGAGATCTAGCAGCCCGGGGTTTGTCCGGTCTGCTATACTCTTTCCAGTTCATTATAATCAAATAGACCGGGACTGGTCTGGGCTATCTGAAGAGATCTATTTTGTAACACATATCCCGAGCTCAATTTCTAATACACGAAACTCTCCGACCTCATGTCTACTACAAATTCATTGTTCGATATTTTGGTTAAACAATTGGCGCGCCAGGTAGGGAGCTTGGAGATTTTCTAACGCAAGGAAACATGAGTCCGGATGCATCAACCAGTCAGCAAGTCAGCGAAGCAATCATGCCAGAGTCTGCCGAAACAATTCAAGCGACCCCTGTCGTTACAACCACGGTAGATACGACCAGTCCTCCAGTGACCATCAATGAGGAAACAAGGGTAGCAGCGTCTGACCCTTCACATAACGAGCCCGCGCTCGTCACTGACGAACAATTCAACTTTGTGGGAGTACTAAGTATGCTCATGAGGCATTTCAATCAATATGAGACCAATTTAGAAGAACGAGCACCCGCCTCGACGCCCTCTCGAACGCTCAAACCGCAATCCAAGAACAGCTGGACTCCACTCGACCAACCGAGTCACACAGATCCGAACGAACTTATCTGAAGTAGAACGACACGGCCAGCCTTCGCCCCAACATCAGATTATCAATGTAAACACTCCCACCATAACTTCAATCAGTGCGCAGGTCGCTCGGTCACCTCCTTCGAGAGAGCCGGATTCATTTCAGGGGCTGGAAATCAAGGCGTTGAAAGTTCGACTCAAAGATA